AAGGGTCCGCCCGGGGCCCGAGCCTCCTGCCAGTCGAGTTTTTCATGGATTGCATCACCAAGCTCATTCAGGCCGACCTCGACGCCCGCGCCCTCTGCTGGAGCAAAAACATCCAGGTCGACTGGCACGCCTCGCGGGACCAAGAGATGGAAGAGAGGGGGCTCGCCAGTCATGGTGGAAAAGGCAAAGGGTAAGACCCCCCCACCCCGCGGCAAGGCTAAAAGGCCAGCCGATTCCACCTGGCCTCGGGTCGCCAATGGTAGGCAGCTGCAGTATAGCCGGGCGCCCACTCCTCTACGCAAGAATTCGCCCCCGCGCGCTCTTGCTACCCCTACTTGCCCGCTGATCACGGCTGGCCTCAACAACTCAGCGCGCCAGTTCGGTGTGGCCCAGCGCCTGCCCCCCCGCAGCATGCGCGCGCAAGCTCAGAGAAGGCCCTGTCCCCGTCCTCCCCTGCGCGAACACACTTCAGTGCGCCGGTTCGGTGGTGCCCCCTGCTCCGACCACAATCAATGCACCTGTTTGGTGTGGCCCCTCCAGCTCGCCGCCTCTGGCGCCTCGCTGCTCTCCGCGTCGTGGCACATCAGCGACGAGTTGCCTCGGCTCCTCTCACATGTGGCGCCCCGCTTCTGCGAGGGCCGTCCGCCGCTCTGTCCTTCTTGCTGGTCACTCCCCTTTCGCCCCCCGCGAGGTGATGATCAACCGCTGAGTCAACCCATGCTTCGGGGCCCGTGCGCCCGCGCCCTGTCTTTGGGGTGTTCGCACCTGGCCTTGGCGCTGGGTGGGCCAGTCTCGCCGCCCGCCCCTGGCGCCCGCCCTGCCCCCCCCCCTCCCGCTCTTGCGCCCTCGCCCCAGCCGCGGGGATTGGGCCCACCCGTTGCGCCCGCCCCACTCTGTCGCCCCTGGGGGGGGGTCCCCGCCCCCGCCGTTGCATCCCCTGTTCGGCTCCGCCCGTGCAGGTTGGGTCGCCGGCCCTCTGCGGGATTTTGGCGCCGGTCCTGCGCCCGCTGCCCCCTCCCTTGGCAGCCTCTTCACTTCTCTGTGGCGCTGGTCCTGCGCCGCGCCGCTGTCTCCCCGCCCCCCCTCGTTCCTCCCGCCCCTCGGGTCTGCCTCTCCTGTGCTGGCCCCCCCTCTCGCCTTTCGGCCTGCCTGGCTCGCTGGCCAGCCTGCCGCCAGCGGGCTTCGTTGTTTCGCCCTGGTGCCTTGTAGGTCACCCATGACGTTCGCTCCTACCGCCCTCCCGGCTCGCATCCGTGGGGCCTGCCCGCCGTGCCTGCCTCCCCGGGCGCTGCCTTGCGCCTCCTCCCAGCTCTGTCCCCCGCCTCGGGCCAGTTGTCCCGTCCAAAGCTGCCTTCTAGGTTGCGCTTGGCCTCGGCGCCTGGCACGCTGTTCTTCCCTGCTGCGCCCCCCGTCCCATGCCGTCCTGGCCGGGCGGTCTGTTGCTGCCTCAGTGGCAGACGCGACCCTGCACCTCGGGCGTCGCCCCCGCTCCCTGGCTGGTGGGCTCGCTGTCCGTCGTTATCCTTTGGCCGGCCCTGGTGGTGGCCTCGTCCGTGTCGCTATCCCTGGGCGCTTCGCAGGTCACATGTGACCTCGGCACCCTGGACTCCCGCTGCTCGCTGCTTCGCTCCCAGTTCGTGCTGGGCGCTGCCCCCCTTGGCGCCGCTTCTTGCCGCCGCCTGGTCCGCCCCCCCCCCCCCCCAGCTGCTTCGCAGCCGCTGGCCCCTGCCCGTGGCGCTGCCCCGCCGCCGCCTGGCCCTGCTCTGAGCGAGCCCGGCATCCCTTGCTGGGCGTCCTCCCCCCTAAATTCGCGTTTTGTGTGCCTCGCTAATGCTACATCGCCAGCGCACACACTCTGCCTAGCCGCCGACGCAACATGTGTGTGTGTGTGTGTGTGTGTGTGTGTCTTCCGTGTACCGTCGGACCTGACTTTTGTTGCGCAATCTTGCCTGCAACTCGCAGAGTCGACCCAACTTTCTACTTCAGATCGGAATCGGAATTGAGACCCTTCGATTAGCTCGCAATCTAATGGGAAAGGTTGCGCTTCGGCTATACAGAGAGATCATTTGGATTCTTGTAGTACAAAGCAACGCCTCTGCTGGCGCCTCGGCCGATCGGGAAGGGTAGGCGGCCGAGAGCGCTGTCATTTTCTTTCCTGCCGCAGCAGCGTGTTTGCGGCCAACCGTCGATCTGAAGCCGCACTCGATTGTGCCATTGTTCTGCCCTGGAACAGCGAGAATGCAAATATCTGGCTCGTCTCAACACACGGAAATCAGATGAGTGTTTGCTTCCTCGCGGAGCCGAATCGACGCTGATGAGCATAGCGGCACTGCGGCGCCTTTTCGTGCCAACGCTTGTCGCAGGATGAGGTCGTGTCACGTTGCTCGCTTGCGTGTGCTCGATGCACAAAGGCACCCTGGCTTTGACGCACGCGCGCGCGACTATGACGACGAAACTGGAAAAAAGCTGCCTGGGCGTACTCTTCCGCGGCGGTCTGCAGGCAGCCTCGGGAGTCGCGCATGGGCACGGTTGAGCTCCATGCAGTCGAGAAGGAGGTGCAGGGCGCGCCATCATCGCTGCTAAAACGAGTTGCAACGCTATGCTCTGCAAGAAGCTGCGGTGGATGCATTGTCTCAGCGAGTCGCCAGGCGGCCCAGTCATTCGAGCGCATTCGCCGCTCAGAACGCCACTTTGCCTCGCTGCTCGCGCCGCGTGCGCGACCCGCCGAGCGAAGTGGGGCCGCTTCTGGGCGAGAGCTCGAGCGGGGGCCAGGCCTCTCGTTGGAGCGCGGTGCCGCCTCCAAACGGGTCCTCGCAGACGGGCCCCGCCTGGAATCTGCGATCCAACTTGGCCTCCTTGACGTTCGGGTGACTGGATGAGCATCGCTTAACCGATCCCTATCTTCACGGGCGTGGCCTGGGCTCCACTGGTCGATTTACCTCTCCAGAAGGGGATGTCGCCTGTTCCTTTCGGGTTTCGAGGGGCATACCCCCAACTGGGGTTGTGGGATGGTGAACATCGGGATGGGGATGAATATTGGTTAAACGACAGTGAACCCCTCACATCGCCAGACCGCTCGATATGGTAACCGCTGACCCCGTGCCCTGCTCGCAACCCTTCAAGACATTCAAAGACTGGATGGTGGACCACATGCGCTGCATATCAGCAGTCCACAATAGGCCACACACGCAACGATAACATAACAGACAACCAAAAACGGAAACACAACGGGTCTTCACATGTTGATCAGGGGGCATGTACATAGCCCGCAACCCTTGCACTCGCCGCTCAAGCTTCTCCCACGGGAACTCCGCCAACGGCCTCTTGTGCAACCCGCCCCGCGCAATCCTCGGAACGGGCTTCGGCACCCCTTCGGGTGCTTCGGCACCTCCGCGCACCAGCCCGGGGGCCTTGTCACTTCGGGCTGTCTTCCCCGCCAGATGCCGCATAACGCTGCGCGACGGGCGCCGCCCATTTCGCACGAGCTGGTTTTCGCGGTTTCCAAGCGCCCCTGCCCGCAGCACGTCGTGCTCGCCGTCCGCCAGGGTCAGCCAAGGCGTTCGCGAACACCTCGACCAACCTCGCGTCGGCCTCGCGCAACAGAGGCCCGCGATCCAGCCCAGCGCTCCCAGCCCCGCGTTCAGCCGCCGCTGCAGTGGCTCCGCACTTCGGGCGAAGCCAGGATGAAGACAACTTCGGATGGGGATGAATCGGGAGCTCTGAGAACTGGCGGGCCTGATGGATGCATCGGGCAGCGCGGCCGTTCCAGAGCGCTCCAGAACGCTTTGAAAATGTCCTGGAAAGCCCGAAAACGATTTGCCCTCATCCTAGGCCTGCTTGAACGCCGCCCCTCTGGGCCCGCAAACGCCGACAACGGGCCTGGGCAAGCTGGACATGCCGGCGGCGATGCCAGAAGCGGCACTGCGGGGCACGCCGGGCAGAACACCAGCGGGCAGACTGGGCAACCTGGCCACGTGGGAGGCGCCAGGCAAATGGGCCATCCGCACTCCTCGTTCCGAGACACGACCGCCCGCTTGAGCTCCGCGCTGGTCCTGCGCACCATCTCGCGTGCGAGGTTGCCGATCGCTGGTGCCAAAGCCCCGGGGAACCTGGCAACACCAAACATTTGAGCACAAACATGCGTGGCTGGTAAGAGCAGAGTGTCCACGTGGTGCCCAGAGCCATGACGGTGAGCAGCTGAACAGACTGCTCATACAGAGCCAAGCCAAGACAAGTCGTTTCGCAAAATAATCCCAAATGCTGCGGCCACGGCGAACTCTCGACGGCGCGGTGTCGTGGCGACCTCGACACGCGGTTTTTCTTCGTCGACGGTAGACCTCCCAAACGAAATTCAGCGAACATGCAGTGTATGTGTGTGCATTTTTTTTTGTGTCCAACTGGGTTGCAAAACCGACGTTGGATTCTTGGAGCCGCGTACAATAGGACACGACGGTGCGGGCGATGTGCCGCTATTATTGATCCGATTCGAAAGAGCGAAGGGACGTTTATCAATACATGTTCGCAGGGACCAGAAACAGTCAGAGAGAAACAATTACACCGAAGGCTGGGGGACACAAGCGCAGCCGTCACATTGCCACGGCTTTCTCGTGAATCATATCTCTAAATAACGCTTCGCAGGACGTTTCCGCCAGGCTGCATGCCACTACCCTCGCACAGGCACTTCAACTGTCCCCCCCCGTTCCTCCCGCTCCTCTTCGTCTTCCTCCCTCATCCGCATCATGTTCTTCCTCTTCCTTCTATTCCTACTGCTATTCATCCTATGGTTCCTCCTCCTCCTCCTCCTTCTCCTCCTCCTCCTCCTCCTCGAAGCCCTAGGCTCTTGGGTGGATCGGAGCCCTAGGCTCTTGGGTGGTATTGGATTCTACTACATGGTGCTATCCTATTTGATCTTATCTTGTAGCATGTTATAGCATTTCCTCCTCCTCCTCCTCACCACTCTCCTCTCAAAATATTTCACCAACGCGTCTGCCGCGGCGCGCCTGCGGTATATATCCAGCAGCCTCCTGTTGATCCGCGCCTCCTCCGGAGCGCGCAACAGCACGGCGAAAACATCACTGACCAGAGATCTCCCCAGGAGCAGAAGGGGGGGCAGCAGGGAGGTGGGAGAGCTAGAGGAGGGAATGAAAGAACATGATATAGATAGTCACGAGGAGGAGGAGGAGGAGGAGGAGGAGGAGGAGGAGGAGGAGGAAGAGGAGGAAAAACAACCAACATGCTGCACGATGCAGCGGCATAATGCTTGCCGGCGGACGACTTCACTCCTCGACAAACTGACAGAACCACGGACACAATGAGTCTAATCCAACTCTAACGACATGCCACAGCAATTCTAACACCACGCCGCAACATGAACACCAACATCATGTTACACACATTCAAGAACGGCATCGAGCAATACCTTTCAGGAACATCCACGGACCAGCACACACAGGCTCCACTTGGCATTATACGCTGCTGCGACAGACCACCACTACACCGCAGAGCCAACAATACTGATGTTTCAGGCTACAACACAAAGGCCACTTGCTCAACAGCTCAAGCAAGACAAAGCTAACTACATAGCAACTATCTCCGACACTGTCCAGCGACTCCACGCCATACACGAACACAAGGCAGCGTGGCAATACGCCAAAGCGGCACTTCGATATGGACCAGCCACCAGACAAAAAGGCGGCCAAATCACAAGCCATGCCCTTGTTCACCGACGCGGCGGGAAAGGTACTGGGAAACGACGAGCAACAGAGAGACGAATTCACAAGGCACTTTGCACAACAAGAAGAGGCCACGCTCACCGACACCAATGGCACACTTCAGCGCTACAGCCGCACTTTCTAGCTCACCGAACACACCAGGCACGTTGGATTTCGTGATCACCAATCCTCAGTACATCCGCCCATCCTGCCAGGCCTGTCCAGGTTAGCAGTGTTTAGGGTGAAAGACGCAAGAACAAGTGCAGCGCAGGCACCGCCATCAAAGTACGGTAGGGGATGTGCCAATCAGAGGTGCAGTAAACAATTATCCGACTTAACGTATCTACCAAGTGCAGGCTGGCAAATGGGAGGTGGCGTATACGCCAGGTGGGAGTCAACTACTCGTACCCGGCGGCCTACAGCAGGGCGAACGGCCTCCGCCGAAGGACAAATGGTGTCTGCCAGAAGCGCTCCCCCGACCACCCCCGATATAGAACCCTCCACCACCACCGCAAAACTCGAATTAGTGTCGTGCTGAGGGGGCTATCGCAACATGTAAAAGGCTCTCCTGTGAGCAGAGATGATGGCATGATGTAAAAACTGGCCTATGATGCATCATTACGTTACTGGCGAAAAAGCTGACCAGCCTTGAGATGGAGAAGACTATCGCGAACCATAGGCTGGCTATACTATATGCTGACCAGGTCGGCAATGGCTTTTCTGGTAGAACGGAAGCTCCCCCCCCCTCCACATCTTAATCAATCGAGCATGTAAAGAGGCAAGGGAGGTAGAGTGGAGTGCAGGATGATCGAGGCTAAGGCTGTAAGGTGATCACTGACAAGAACATGCAAGCCTGGCTGCCATTCTTGAGCTGCTACTCAGGTCTTTACGGTTCACCGTCAACCTCCAAAGCCTCGGGCCCCTCGTGTATTTCTGTGATCGCGCTTTACGGATTCTGCACGGGCCCTCGTAGGTGGGCACAACGTAGCTTGGCTGGCGCGTATGACCTGGCAATGTCAATGCTTAAGTCAGTGAGGAACAACACGTAGGATAGTAGTGCAACGGCGTAGGGGAAAACAGCTAGGCGAGCTTGTGCAAGCTACGTGTACGGTGGGGGACGCAAGTTTGTCCTGTCGAATCCTAGGGACGCTGCGACATCCGAGCCTGGTGAATCGGGAGTCACTCCAGGACACGGATGCGAAGAGGAATAAGGGTAAGCTGCTCAGCTGGTGGGACCATTCCTCGTTGCCCAGGGGACCGTGTAATAGCTGAGGATATCTCCCTCCCCGTCCACTTCCCCAAAAACCATGATCAGGAGCCCGCTCCTGCCACCCTGGGCCAACGGTCACAAAACGTGGTGCTGAAACTCATAGATGGGGCAACTGTGCACAGAGAGATGGCAAAAGGGACAAACAAGCGGACATGGTCGGCTCAACAACAAGCAACAACGATCCAGAAGGAGGAAAAAGGGACCAACCGCAGTGCCGACCCGAAGCTAGGCAGGCACGTGCGCCTGGTGTCCGCAAGCGGACGCCAGGCCCCCACACACACCCAACGATCCTAGCAGGGAGCCACGCCCGAAAAGGAGAGAGGAGAGGTCAAGGGCCCAGAGGAGCGGGAAGGGAGAGAGGAGAGGGACGGGACGAACGACAGCAGGAGGACCCCAGGATAACAGGCGCTGCGTGTAGACAAGGGGTATAAGCTGTGACAAGTGTAGCATATATATATATATATGTATATATATACACAGCTGCGTGTGCCTGGAGAGCACAGAGCCAAAGTGAGCGCAAAACTACATAGATGCCAGAAGAGCGCGAGAAACGGAACACCTGAGTGGCTTGGGTGCCAGCAGCTGTAAGAGCAGGGAGGGGAGAGCCGATCAGTAATCCTTGCACTGGCAGTCCTTGTAGTTTTGGCGATGGTTGATGCGGAGGCTGCGTGGTCGTGGACAGCTCGCAGTCGCCTTTTCTGAATTTTGATGCGGTTTCTGATGCACAGGAAGTCCAGGTGGTGGGAGATGTGAGGTCGTAGATCGCCAAATTTCCCAACGTCTACCTACCTTGGGCTCCTTGTATGCTGTGTGGTGAGGCTCTGGTCGTTGTGCAACATGTCGATTGGAATGCATAGTTGCTGTAAGAACCGTATTGTATTGTGTCGTGTATGCGTGCTGCCCAGTCGTGTCTCAATTCTTCGTCGTATGTCGTGGCATGAGTGCAGCCATTGCGATGCAGTGATGATAGCGTGCTTGGCTGTGTCGTTCAGTGTTGTTGTAGGTGCGCTGATCCTGGAGGTGAGGTTTCTGTTGGTGAGGATGACTGCTAATCTGAAGTCTTCGTTGTGTGGGTCGCGCGTAGCAAAATCCTGTGGGCTTCGGCCTAGCAGTAATCGTGGTTGGTCGTCTGGCCGTGGTTGCCGTGGAGGAAGGTGTGTGTCCGCCGTCTTGGGGCCATCAAGTCTTGAGTAGGTGGTCGTCTCAGTTGGAGGGAGCTTGAACGTGAAGAGTCGCGTCGCGTTTGGGCCGGGCTTGGGTGGTGGACGATGCGAGGCGCGCTGGCGATTGCTGCGGATGAAGTTCTCGCGATTGTATTTGCCGAGATAACTGTGACAACCAGGCAATAAGAGGTGGTCGCTTGGGAGTATGCAAGTGTATATGTTCTTGGTAGCATTGTAGTAGACTGCGTAGTGCCAGTTGTGGACATCGCTGTCGTCGTCATCGTAGTTGCTCTTGGCACTGTATGCTGTCCAGCCTGGTGGGCAGTGCATATCGTGTCGCTGGCCTTGTTGTTGGGGCATCAGTGTAAAGGGCGCTTGGCTGTGCTTGTATTCGTCGGCGCTGATATCGCAGTGCCTGTCTTCGTCGTATGTGTGCACTTCGGTAATGGTTGCTAGTGCTGCTGCGATGCCTTCGTCGCCCCAGGGGTTGGTTACTACGGCCTGCTGTGGTGTGTTGCTGCGGCAGGTGTTGGTAGCTTCGGTTTGGGTCGAGGCGTAAGTTCGTGGGTCAGTGGTGCTGGCGGTCGGTCTTGCTTGCGCTCGCGCTCTGTCCTGAAGTCGAGTTGAGGTATGAATGGATTTGGGGGTGGTGGTAAAGTGTGTCCTAATGAGTACTTGCGTAGCCTGTCCTGGTAATCGTATTCCATGTGCTCCGTTTGTTCTCGTTGCTCCAGATGCTGCTGCATCCAATCGTGGTGCAACTTGTCGCTGTCGGTGTTTGTCGGTACTCCCCCAATGTGTTTGGGGGGCCTATAGATAAATGTCGTACCTAGTGGGTGTGATATGTGCATCGAAGGCGGAATATGTAACGGTGTGCCAATAACGATCACGGGTCACACGTGGTGCCTCGGGTGTTTATCCACGACCGGAATGGATGAAAGCCCACCGATCGTTGGTGGCCAGGCGGGCTTGCCAAGCGTTGGTGCTAGAAACTTGTAGTGTGTCGGTGGTCGTGCGGCTTGGCGCATTGATGTTGGTGGTGGTGGTGGTGGTGGTTGTCTCACTGTGCCTGTCCGTTCTTTGAGCACCCCTGCTACGTCGCTTGCTTCTTCTCTTTGTTCCGCGTATTTGGGTTGGTCGTGTGTTCTTGGCGGCGCGACATGCATCTGGGACCTGTCGATGGTTGATGTGGCCCGTGGCGGGTGTAGTGTTGCTGCTCCCCACGCGTGGACAGCGTGAGCCAATGAGTTAGAGAGGGGAAATAGCTCTGATTATTTCACTATGTTGCTCTCGCTTGTGGCCATTCAGCAGATGAGTGTGCTGTTGTTTGTGGACTTATATTTCTGTGCATGTTGCTGCCCTCGTCGGGTGCGAAACGGCACCGCTGGGCGTGCCGCTGGTTGTAGATGCGGTAGAATGTTTCTTTGAAGTATTTCTCGGTGCCGTCTTTGTTGTAGCATGGTTGCTTGGGGCATATCTCGTCGCTGTCGATGTCGTCGGGAAGTTTATCCCATGTGAGCTCGATGATGCACTGTCGTCGTAGCTCGTTGCCCTCCGTGTCGCCCAGTGTGCATGACTTCCCGTCGCGCCTGTATTGCGCGTGGCTGTAGACGGGTATGTCGCATGGTCGTTGTGCCCAATGGCCGTTTATGCTGTCGTGTGAGCTCATGCTCTTCCAATTGCTTAGTGCGTCGTTCAGTCGTGTGCGCAGTATTCTTGAATAACTTGGGTTGGTGTCTGGCAGGCAAGAAATTGCAATGCGGCTTCGGTTGGTTGCATAGGCCCACTCCATTTTAGTAGGAACTGGTATAACTTCGCGGCCCAAGTGCAAACATATGTAGACGAACATCTTGTCGAGGCTGGCGTTGCCAACGCCGTCTTGCTTGTTCCGTTGTACTTGTGCTCTGAGCGTTGTCGCTGTCTCGGGGTCGTAGTGGTCAGGTGTTGCTGTGCGTTGTAGTGTCTCCCGCGTCGGTGTCTTCATGTGTCTTCTTTTCGTTTTGGAATACTGGGGGAAGGTCGTCTTTGCGTCGGCGCGTGCTGCAAACGCGTCGTCACGTGTAGCAATCTAGGGTATATGTTGGCCACTTTGCATGAGTGTGAGCGCTACATGTAAGGCACCGCGAAGTGGTGCATATTTGGTCATCGCCTGAGCAAGTATGGCTGCGGATGGCGATGGGCTTTACCTGATATCAAGCGCGCGTGTACAAGAGAGATCAAGAGAGCTGGCGGTGCGGTAAAGAAAATTGCTTCGGCTGTCCGTGTGTGCCTAGAATGCATCGGCCAAGCAATTGTCGTCCATTGCATGTGTGCCTCCTGCCCCTGTCAATGTCATCTATATACCACTTTCGTCTTGATGTCGTAATATTGTGAGTCGGTCTGCAATGTGCTGTCATGGCGTCGCTGTGCCGGTGCTGTTGTACTGCTAGTGTCGCGTGCTGCTCGCCGTCGAAAGCCGCGTTGTCGTGCGCGGTTGAACTGGGGCCTGGCTAACTGGGATAGTTAACCAATGCACCGGCCGTTAATTCTCATTAGGTCATAAGAGAGATATGCAATTGAAAGTGATGACCAGTCTTCATTTATAGTAACGAGAAGAATGCAATGATCGCTGATTGCGCCCTCGTAGCTTCTCTCTGTGGCATGCCTCGCGAGCCTCCCGTGCCAGGAATGAAGAGGGTGGATGGCACTTGTTCGGCAGATGAAGAGGCCGCGTCTGGGTGGCGCCAGTGCGTTGTGCATCTCGCCCCAAGCTGCGCCCCGTAGCTTCTGAGGTATGCCCGAGTGGGCTCCCGAGCGGGCTGAGGCGGGGATGAGGTCGTTACAACTGAGTCGAATCATAGAGAAGGTAGGCGACGCGCACTTGCTTTTCAAAATGTATGGCGTCGGGCCGAGCCTCGCCTCGCCTCGGGCCCCCATGACACCCCTCACGGATCGACCTGGCTCGAGGAGTTCCACGCAGAGATGCGGCCGACAGCTCTAGCCGTGGATGCTCTGCGGTGGTGTGCGTCGGGCCGGCCGTGCCCCGCCTCGGGCCAGCCGCACCCCGCTCTGTTGCCCAGCTGCCCTTCACAGGCCATGTACTCCCATGGCTCGTTTTTTTCTGTTGGTATGTTTTTATATCCTGCTGAGGCGCAGCGCTGTGAGTGCACGAAGCGTGGGTGTGCCCACCGAGGCCTCAGCAGAGGCCACAGTCAAAGCCAGGCGAAGAAGAGGAGGAACCCTGAGCGACTCCCACACACCCTGCGGAGGGGGCTCGCTGTGAGCAGGTGGTCGGCCCGCGGGAGGGTCGTCCCGCAGCAGGGGGAGCTCATGATGGCAGGCTGATCTCGTCGTCGGTCATCTTCAGCAGGGTTTCGAAGACGCGCTCGCCGTCGTCGCGGAGGCCTGAGTGCTGGAACTCGTTGGTGACCCACAGCTTGCATGCCTCCTTCCCCAGGAGCTCGGCAACCTCTTCGCTGAACCGCCGCTCCACGTAGATGTCGTCGTACGACACCAGGGCGGCGATGGGCACTTTCTGCGCCACGTCCTTCAGCCTCTGACGGTCGTAGAGCTGTCTGTCCCACGCTCTGGCCGCCAGCTCCGTGGCGACTCGCTGCAGCGGGCGCAACCGCTTGAAATCCTCCCCCATCCAAGGGAATACCATCTCGCCCGTGAAGCTCACGGGGAGGCCTTTCTCTGCGTTTCCCACGGCGTCGAACTCGCCAGAATCAGCCACGGCCCGCGCGGCGGCCCAATTGGAGGCGCCTCCCGCTTCACAGTAGATGGATTCGTGAAGCACCCAGTACACCGGGTTGGTCTCGAATGCGTTCTGCTGCGCGTCGACGGCGTGCAGAAACGCCGTCGAGAGCTCGGGGCCGTCTCCGGGGGGCTCCTCCCAGGCGGTCTCCAGCATCCAGTGCAGAGCCTCCATGCCGCTGCCGCTGCCTAACATGAGCCCCAGCATCTGGAAGCGGCGCACCGTCAACACGCCGCCCGAAGGCAACACCACCCCTCCGCCCTCCTCTGACTGCTCCGCGTCTGCCAAGTGGACAACGATCTGCTGCACCGTTTTGATGTCCTCTGGGTAGCGCGCGTAGAAGCGCCGGTTGCGCGCTAGCATGCGCTGGACTGTGGCCGCGTACACCTCCGCCGCGCTTCGAAGCACGGGCGCCAACCCACATGTGAAGATGCAGCGCGCCACGTAGTCGGAGAAGCGCGACAGGTAGGTGAGCATCACGAAGCCGCCGTAGGACTGGCCGAGGAGCGAAATCTTCCCACCCTCGCCGCAGAACCACTGCCGCACGCACTCCACGTCACACGCGATGGCGTCAGCGCGTAGGTTGGAGAGAAAGACTTCCTTTGCGGCCTCCAGCTTCGCGATCTTGGCGGGTGTGGCAGCGGTGGACCGACCAGTGCCCCGCTGGTCCAGCAGCAGGACGCGGAAGCCTTTCTCCAGCGCCTTCTTCAGCCATCCCGACGGTGGCGCGCTCGGCCGCGGGCTGGGAAACCCTGGCCCGCCCTGCAGAAAGAGCAGCACCTCCTTCTGGTTCTGCTTCTCCCTCTCCCCTTCTGAAGTGGAACGATCGGGGGCGGGACCGGCTCAGGGGGGGAAACAGGCTGGAATCTGCGATACACCGCCGACATGTCGGCGATAGGCCCCCGAGAGCGAGCCCGCACGTTCCCAGGCAACGTGGGCTATCGGACATGATCGGGCCCCTGTCGGCGAGGAATGGGCGATCGCGGGTCGATGCCCCCCCCCCCTGAGCCCTCCTAACGTTGCTCCACACCTTCCCTTCGCTCCGCTTCCTCGTTCGCCTGGCCAGCCTTGCCCTTCACCACCTCGCGAACGAACACGTCGATGTAAGGGGAGCTAGGGAAGAGCAAGGGATCCCAGACCTCGTCGCCGTCGGTCGAATCCGTGATGTTAAGAGGAGTGTCATCCGACCAGTCCAATGGTACGCGGAAGACATGCTCCCGTTGAAGGATGCCCCCCACGAGAGTAGTCTCTGGCGAGCATCGGTGCGCCCATTTGGACCGGTCCACGACGAGCCGATCCATTGAGACTGTCGTGCAATATGGCCTGGCGACTGCAGAGACACGTCGAAAACGTGAACTGACTATCGAAGGACCCGCCGAGAATCGAAATCTTGAGAACAGCACCGTGGGTGCCAGGCGAGCAAGTAAGAGCAAGCTGCCGAGCTTCGCCCAGCGCGCAGACATGGGGCACGCGTTCTCGAGCCAAGACTGTTTCGAGAGGGGGAGCGCGCACGGCTGCGTCGCCGAGCAGCCTACGCCCTCCACGCGATCTCCCCGAGGCCCGCTCCCGATCCGCTCGAGATCTCCACTTGTCGTAGGAGCGCAGATTGAGAAGGGTGCCTTCTAAGACGGCGCCCTGCCCCTCACAGAATTTGCAGGGGACTTACGGTAAGGATCTTCGAGGGGCCGATCCCCTCCAAGAAGGCCCATGTCCTCTAAGAATGCGGCCCCTCTAGCCATAGAACCTTTTTTCCCAGGACGGTGGACGGGGAGCAACTGCTTAAGCAAGAATCCCCCATCTCCCCTATCAGCTGCAAAGCTGGCGGGCTTACCCAGGACCGCTCAGGCGTAACGCCCGTGATGTTCGAGGCCATCACTGAACACGGTGATGGGGGAGGCGAGGGGGCGGGGTCCGAACCGCATGTTCTACACGAGTGCCGACGTCTGGTGCCCCCCCCCGCGCGCCCGCCCGCTTCTGTCGCTTGCCTGGCCCGCTTTTCCTTGTCGTCCCGCCTCGTGGTCCGCATAAGGGCTGCTGCGGCCCGCACTGCCGCGCTGGCGAATAGCCGGGCGTGGGGCGAAGACTTGCCCCCGCCCGCGGAACGTCAGCTCCTCCTCCTCCTCCTCCTCCTCCTCCTCCTCCTCCTCCTCCTCCTCCTCCTCCTCCTCCTCCTCCTCCCTCCTCCTCCCTCCCTCCCTCCCTCCCCCTCCCTCCCTCCCCCTCCCTCCCTCCCTCCCCCCTCCTCCTCCTCCTCCTCCCTCCTCCTCCTCCTCCTCCTCCTCTTCCTCCTCCTCCTCCTCCTCTCCTCTTTCTCTCCTCCTGTTCCTCCTCCTCCTCCTCCTCCTCGCTCCTCCTCCTCCTCCTCCTCCTCCTCCTCCTCCCTCCTCCCCCCTCGCTCGAGCTTCGCCTCCGACTCGGAGCCAGGGCCGGGTGCGCGTGCGCTCTCTTTCGCCACCGAGATCTCGGGAGTTGCTCGGGGAGGCGCACGGCGGCGGTTGGCCGTGGCGGATACCCCGTCGAAGCCAGGATCCGCCAGCTCCCCGCAACAAGCTCGCGTCGTGACGACATGCTCGCTGATTGCTGACACCGAAATGAAGGGCAACGACAAGGGAGGATAGACATAGGGGGGGATGCATCGGCCTGGAATCGGCGATACGTCGTCGATAGGTCGGCGATAAGCCCCCGATGGTGAATCCGCACCTTCCTGGGCGGGGTGGGGCTATCGGGTCCCTACCGGCGATTGATTGGCGATTGGGTGTCGATGCGTCCCCCCTATGCCCCCCTATCGTTGCCCCCGGCGAGTGTGTCGTTCAACCTTGAACGATCGTGGCTTTGAACGTTCGTCGTCGTCGTCGTCGTCGTCGTCGTCGTCGTCGTCGTCGTCGGCTGGGCCATGCCCATCACCCGGGCGACTCCAGGGTAGGACCCATGGGGCGCCATCCAAAAGGAAAGCATGCCCAGGGCGTGCCGAGGAACCCATGGGGGTCCTGTTTCCACGGAAGACAGAAGAAATCCTTGGCGAAGGGCTGGGACACGGGGGTTGCCCTTGCAAAATTCCCGAAGAGGAATGCTGGCGCCGCGGGGGTGTTGGCGGGGTGCTGGGGGGTGCTCTCAGCCGCGGGGGTGGCGGCGCGCGGGGTCCCCCCTCAGCGCAAAAAGGACAGGAAAAGCGCGAGAGCCCAAATGGTACATGTTATGCAGCATCGCAACTAGCGAATTGCACCAGCTTTCAATGCACGCTACTGTTTGTCCTATGTCCGAAATCGGCAAAAGATAGTGTCTCCATTATTCCTTAATCACGATTCGATTCTGCTTCCGTGCTCACAAGTCGCGACCCAAAAGTTTTGAATATTGTTTCCTTCTGCCTCAGTCACGAGTCTATACTGTTTCCCGAAATGCCTCACTCGCAACTCGATTAGGCTAGTTGTACTGCAAGACCAAGTGCACTCTAGGAGCAGCTGCGCGCTAGCACATGATGGAACCAATTGTGCTCAAGTGCTAAGGGTACTCGTGCCGGAAGGGTTCAGGGGTTCCGGTGGCAACACGAGCGCGGATGAAACATAAAACACACACACGCACAACAAACCATGCGCCGCCAAGGGTCCCTGGTGACAGAAAGCGAGCGTAGCGTGCGATCCGATAGTCAGAAGACTTAAACTGGGGGGAGTTCAAAGGGGTTGGCGGCCGAAAACCCATGTTCAGCACGCCCAATTTTTTTCCAAGAAGCCTCGAGAGGCCTCAAGAGAGCCCTCCTACTCCTTTTCCTCCTCCTCCTCCAAGAGGGCTCCAGAGGGACCAAGAAGCCTCCAACTTCGGACAAGATCGGAGGTTGGGGGGTGAGATCGAAGTGGAACGGAGAGCCCCCCTACCGGGAAATCGATTTCGGTTTCGTGTTCGTGCGTGCCGTGCGGGCGAGGCGAAGCTGCGTGGGCGGGCGAGAGAAAGTCTCCTGTGGCTGAGGCGCGGCCGGACCAAATGACTCCCTTCCGGGCGGCCGGTGGCCCGCGGTGTCCCGCCGGTGTCCCGCTGGTGTCCCGTGTGGCTGTCAGGCGCGGCCGGACGAAATGATTCCCTTCCGGGCGGCCGGGGTGATGATGATGATGAAGATGATGATGATGATGGTGTCCCGATTGTGATGATGATGAAGTTGATGATGATGCTGTTGATGATGGTGATGATGATGAAGGTGTCCCGATGATGATAATGATGGTGATGATGATGACGATGATGGTGTCCCGATGCTGATGATGATGATGTTGATGGTGATGAGGTGATGATGATTTTGATGATGGTGGCCCGATGATGGTGATGATGATGCTGATGTTGATGATTATGATGGTGTCCCAGTGATGATGATGGTGATGATGATGAAAGTGTCCCGATGATGATGATGATGATGACGATGATGATGATGACGATAATGAAGATGATGATAATGATGATGATGATGCTATTGCTGATGATGATGATGTTGATGGTGTCCCGATGGTGATGATGTTGATGATGTGGTTCATGATGAAGATGCTGATGATGATGGTGATGAGATGATGATGGTGGTGTTCCGATGATGATGGTGTCCCGATGATGATGATAATGATGATGACGATGATGATGATGATGGTGACGATGATGGTGTCCCGATGATGATGGCGATGCTGATGTTTATGATGATGGTGATGAGGTGGTGGTGATGACGGTGTCCCGATGATGATGATGGTGGTGGTGACGATGTTGATGACGTTGATGACGATGCTGTTGATGATGATGATGATGCTGATGATGATGATGATGACGTTGATTGCGAGATCGATTGTGGTCGGAGGTGAAGGGGTGAGATCGAAGTGGAACGGAGAGCCCCCCCACCGGGAAATCGATTTCGGTTTCGTGTTCGTGCGTGCCGTGCGTGCGGGCGAGGCGAAGCTGCGTGGGCGGGCGAGAGAAAGTCTCCTGTGGCTGAGGCGCGGCCGGACCACATGATTCCCTTCCGGGCGGCCGGGGCCCCGCGGTGTCCCGCTGGTGTCCCGCTGGTGTCCCGTGTGGCTGAGACGCGGCCGGGCCAAATGTCTCCCTTCCGGGCGGCCGGGGCCCCGCGGTGTCCCGCCGGTGTCCCGTCGGTGTCCCGAAAATGATGTTGTTGATGATGATCATGACGGTTATGTTGATGGTGATGATGATGACGATGATGGTGTTCCGGTGATGATGATGATGATGATGATGATGATGATGATGATGATGATGATGATGATGTGGACGACTCCGTGGCCAGATGATTCTTTTTGTGCAAGAGGGCGCCAGGCGAGGACGCGAATTCTGATGCCCCAGGGGCCAGCACCAGGCCAAAGAAACATTCTTGAGTAGGGAGAAAAGGGGGGGAGGGAGAGACTTGAGAATGGAAGCGCGGCCCGAAAGAGAGCCACAAATAGCCGCGGGCAGCATAATGTGGACGACTCCGTGGCCAGATGATTCTTTTTGTGCAAGAGGGCGCCAGGCGAGGACACGAACTCTGATGCCGCAGGGGCCAGCACCAGGTACTATGGCTAGTCCAAGACACTGGCTGAAAGCCGCAAAACTTAAATGGATTTTCGCACGCATCTGATTAGTCGGGAGACGTATCGTAGGCTATCGACACTGTTGGTCATCATTTCACATGCGAATCGTAGGATACAGGCAGGAGGGTGGCGCGCAGCGCTGCGCAACTGACGGTCTAACGATGGGATGCCTAACTCGCCGAGATGTCGTTTTCGAGTGCGACGGCACGGCGAGGCAACAGGTGAACAGGTCAGGGATAGCCGATCAATATCTTTCACGTTCCAGCTTACAAGTCGAAATCTGTCTTTGACACGGCCAGCGTACATGCATGAGTCGAAAACTGTCGAGGACGAACTCTGGTTCGCAAGAGTGGTGCACGCACTGCCGTCCCATATAAAGTACGCGTCGGGATGGCACAATATGGCGGGCACCTTCTTATAACAGCATTCAGACAGGACGCGCAAGTACTGATCCTGAAAGAGGTTGGCGATGCGAACAGATCGAGCTTTAAAGTTGGTCAAGGTCGGGAGGCCGCGAGGATGCAGCTTAGAACGCACAGCAGGCGACTGACGAAGCCAGGTGGCGGTGTCGGGTTCCACCCACACGCACGAGAGGCAGCTAGAACGAATCCAGCCTAAAACGCGCCGCATGACTGCGGGATCGGTGATGTCGTCGCCCGCGTGGCGACTCGGGTCGAGGTGCACGACGCCGAAGCCCAACCGCTGCAAGGCGCGGGCCGCACCACCGTCGCTGCCGAGCACCAACGCAGGGCAGTACCTGCTTCGCGTAAAAGCCCGCCTGGCAGAGCGCCACGGGCGCGTCAGGCGAAGGCCCACCGTGCAGTGATCTGCGGGGGCGGAGGCTTGACAGCAGGCGGCGTCGGCGTCACGGCCAGCGGCACCTGCAGCGGGAAGACGCCCGAGGCCGTGGTCTGGATGATGAGGTCGTTCATCTGCCTGTCCACCTGCTCTCCGAATTCGACGATGTTCTGGCCTAGGTTGGCGATCCGCTGCTGCATGCGGGCCCGCTTCGCGTAGCGGAGGAGGCTCTGGTCCGTCCTCCAACGGCCGCGGTCCTTGACCTCCTTCCTCGTGCGCCTGAGCGACAGCAGGTCGTCGGACGCACCCCCATGACGAAGCGAGTAGAGAGTCAACTCGATCTCCAGGCCGAGGGCAACTGCCGCTCGACGGAACATGCTCCGCACCTCGTCTGGGGCGAAGGTCCAAAGGCCGTCGATCGGACCCTTGCCGTGCACCAGGGCCTCCAGGAGCGGCCAGACGGTCGGGTTGTCGACGATCGCGCTCTCGTCCATCTCGCCTGTCTTGCCAGGGCGGTCGAAGCAGGCGTCGTTGACGATCAGGGCCCAGTGGCCGTATCCCAGGGCGTCGTCGGGTCGAGGTCGTATCACGCTCCCCGCCGTGAGGCGGTGTGCCTCGCTTGGCCTCAGGTAGGTGTCGACCATCAGCCTGATGAACACAGCCATGCCGAAGAGCTTCCACGAGATCAGGGCGCCCACGATGGACGCCATCGCCGCTCGAGGTAGAGGGAGTCGCATATGTGGGGGTACGAGCTTCCGCCAGCCTGTCAAGGCGCGAGCCGCCCGTGGGCACGGAGCCCTGCCAACGAGGATCGCGGGCAAGTAGTGCTTCAGAGAGGCCATGAGTACACGGCCCGTGGCACTGTCGAAGCCGTCCAGAAAGAGGTTCACGAAGTAGGTAACTAGGATGACATCGACCTCCGCTGCCGTGGAGAACGTCTGGGACGTCCAGCGGCACCGCTCCTCGAACTTCTTGGCGGCGCCCCAGTAGTTGGCCATGGTCGTGTCCGACACGGCGGCTGACTCCAGCACCGACAGGGCCCCTCGGGCGAGCAGCACTGGCCCAGGATGGGTCCTGGTCCTCTGCTCCGTCAGGGTCGTGGTCCGCTGCCGTCGAAGTTCGGGATGCATTCGCTTGGTGCTCCTCGAAGGTCGGCCCGACGAAGAAGCCTGTCCTGGACGGCGAGTCCGCGGCATTGCTCTCGCTGGGGATCCACTGAATGGCGTGGCGGATGCCCGAGGCCGCCGACAGGGCGCAGAGACGGCGTAGAGGGTCGCGAAGGCCTCGGGCGCCAGAGCGGCCCTTGCCAGCGGCAAGTGCTAGAGCCAAATTGTCGACGGTGAACAAGATGCGATGATGACGAAGCCGTCCAGACCGAGCCGAGTGTCGCATCGCAAACCCGAGAGCCTCCGCCTCGTATCGCATAATGTCCAAGCCGAACCTCGAGTGACGCGAGCTGTGTATCGTGGCCCAGCCGTCGAAAGCCGTGATCGAGTCGGGAACTTCGTCGAAGCCGTCGAGGGAAGCAGCGTCAGCTGGTTAATGTAACGATGATGCCGTAGACGGAGGGCCCCCAGGGATCTCGGGGGGCCTCGGACTGTGGCTGCATTCTTTGAGACAATTTTTGTCCACGGTAGCTTCTAACGCAATGCGAGGCTCGATCCCGAGAGCGTGCGCACGGGCGTGCACGGCGTCGGAGAACCGATAGCGCCATCTCTCAGACAAGCGAACAGCGGCCGCGGCGACCTCCTGGTCGACGGTCTTGCGGCAGACCCCGATGCCGTAGGGGGAGGCGTCGCTGCAGAAGGTAGTCGCCGACCACTCTGCTCTGACGTCGGCCCACCATAGCAGTATGAGGGCGGCTGACGCGCGCAACTCTGCGATGACCGACGGCCACAGCGGCACGGCCACTCGGGAGTCCAGGCCCATGAAGCGGTAAACCGAGTTGAAGATCGACAGCATGGGTCTATTGGTGATCATACCCCAAGTACAGTGACCCACCACTGCTGACAAGGCCAGAGGCGATGCAAAGCCACGCCTAAGTAGACCAAGACGGGCTTGACGCAACCGGCAGAGCCTGTCGATCTTACAGCGGACGATGCCGACGTCGCCGAGGATGTCCAAGCCAGTGAAGACCACGCGCTTGGCCGCGGGGGCAACCTCGTCGACGGGCAGACCCCTCGACACGAGCACGTCGCGCATGGCCTGGCAGGCCGTCGTGGCCACATCAGGGTCGAGAGACACGGTGGCGAAGTTGTCTACGTAGCCCGCGCCGATGACGTCGGAGTCCTTCCGCAGCGGAGGGATGGCAGCGCCGCCCACCAGCATGGAGCTCTCGTCGATTCCCGAGTCGAGGATGGCCGTGGTCAGGGCGGACTGGCAGAAGTGGAGGGCCCACGACCAGCCCATAGGCATGACGGAGACGAACGGCTGCAGGAAGGAGTTCGTCCCGATGTTCACGCCGTTGAGCCGCTTGAAGCCCAGGTATCGATTCGGGACGACGGGCAGAGAAAAATATCGATGTAGATGTGGCGGTAACTTCATATGGTAGAATGCGCACTGTATGTCGCCCTGGGCCACGTAGAACTCGCGGTCGGCCTCGAGTGCGCTCCATGCCGACGGAGTCGGCAATCTCGTAGAAGGAGGGGCCGAGAAGTACATGTTGGCTACCCGCGTGTCGAAGACGAGCCGCAAGTTGACGCCGTTGGACTTCTCGACGAAGAAAAACCCAGTAGAGTAGGTAGGCTGACGTTCGGCGACCTCCCACTCAAGCATGCCAGCCTGGTCCAGGCGTAGCAGAAAATCAGCATACTCCCGAGGCCGGAATCGAAGACGTGGATCCACATCGGGCGACCCCAGTCCCGAGGCCTTCCTGAGAGCAGCTGCATCAGCAGGGTCACGTAGCATTTGATGCCTCCACCCTGACAACGTAGAACGATCAGCTTCAGAAACGAGGTCGGCCGTCGGGACAGGAGCCACGTGCTTCGGCCAGGAGACGAGCTCCTTGTTGTAGGGTCCTGCCCGAGACCCTCCAGAGTACCCAGGCGCCGATGCGAGCAACTCTCCGAGGGCTGCCTCGCATCTAAGAGGAGATTCGGATCATCCAGGAGGTAGTTCAAAATCGCGATACTGTTGAGCAAGATACTCCTCAGCGTCACTACGAGCGCGCGGAGGAAGACCAGGCGGCGGGCTGATCACATCGTTCGGGTCGCAGTGGTACATGTCGTTGAGAGTGGACACCGCGTCGTTGTACCACTCACGCCAGGCAGCACCCTTGGCGGCCCGTCTGCGGGCCGACCCGCCCATGGATGAAGTGCCCGATCTTCGCTCCGCAGGAATAGGGCGGAGGGGAAAAACGTCTCGCTGTCGAGGATGGTTGTGCAGCGAGGGGGCAATGAGCCTGGCTGGCGCCACTGTGGCGCGCCCCACGGCCAGGCCTGAAGTTCTCAGGCGTCATGGCGCCCGCAAGGCCCGCTCCTCGCGAGCCTTGCGGCGCTCTTTGCTGATGGCGGCCTCCGCCTTCATCTGGTCTGCGATGTACTCCAGCAACTTCGGCGAGATGCAGAGATTGGCCTTGGAGACGCCTGCGCCGAGGAAGTAGCTGGTCTCGGGCATGCTGGAGGCCCCAGCTGCGGCGCCGCCTCTGGCAGCGGCCTTGGCCTTGGGGGCTGCGCCGCTCGGAGGTGCCGATCGCGTCTCGTACACCCGCTCCTCCAGAAGCTGGAGCTGGCGAGCGACGATCTCGAACGATGCCATCTCGGCGATCTGCAGCTGGTCGTACACGACGGCGAGGTCCAGGACGCGGCAGAGGGTCTCGTGGAGCTTCGCGTGCTCGTCCTCGTCGGGCAACGCCATCGACGTGGGCCACCTCTGATGCCACGCCGTAGGCGTGCCCGCCATCGTCGACATGAAGGACAGGCACCAGAGAAGGGTCCTCGGCCCTTGCACAGGCCAGCCCTGCACGGCCGTCTCCGAGAGGGCGTTGACGGTCTCGCCGAACCTCCTCTCGCGCTCGCCCCGCGGGTTGAGCAGCATCGGGAGGGCCCTGAAGTCGCCGACGGGGGCGGGCGCCGCAGGGGCGGCGGCGGGAAGCGCAGCCGCCACTCCGGGTGCTGGCACCAGCGGCAAGGCCCCCGCGGGGCCAGGCGGGGCGGCTCCCAGCGCGGCGGCCAGCGCAGCGACGCCAGGGGCGACGCCGAGAGGGGCCGCCGCAGCGGCCGCTGCCGCGGGGGGTAGCGCCAGCGGGGCCGCAGCCCCCGCGGGCGGCGCCGCACCTCCCACGCCAGGTGGTGGCGGCAGGGCCGCAGGCGGCAGGGCGGCCGCAGCCGCAGGGTCCGCCAGCGGGAAGGGACCAGGCGGGGCGCCTGCCACGTTGCCCGCCGCGAGCGCCAGCGGCAGCGGGTCGGCGGGTCTCGGGCAGCCCGCGGCCACCGAGCGAGCGACAGCCGCCCACAGCTCCGCGGCCGTCGGAAGGCGGCGGAAGCGGTGTACCGCGGCGCCCGCCAGGGCTGGCGGCGTGTCGCCCTGGCCCACGAGCTGCAGGACCGCTCGCACGTCGGGGCCGACGACGATGGGCTCGTCGTAGTCGTCGAAGCCGGGAGTGAGGATGTAGGCGAGGCCCCCGTTGACGCCAAGCGTGAGGCGCTCGTGCCACAGGGGGGCGCCGCCAACGCGGTAGCGCAGCACGTGGAAGCTGCCCGCCATCATTGCAGCGCTGGGGCGCGGGCTCGGGCGTCGCGCACCTGCTGCGCCGCGAGAGCGGCGATGTCGATGCCGTCCACGATCTCCACCACGGCGGGCGGCTGGTGGGCAGACTGCCCGAGGAGCCGCCGCGCGGCCCAGGCGCCTCCCACGGCCCCGACGGCGAGGCCGACGGTCAGCGCGGCCACCGAGTAGGCCGTGACGAGGCCCAGGCACGAGGGCTCGACCACGTGCCCGCCCGCGCCTGCGCAGACGCAGGAGGGGCAGGAGAAGGTCGGGGGCGCGGGGCAGGCCAGCTGCGGCGAGCAGGCCCCGCAGCTGGGCGCGGCGGCCCGCGCCACGACCGTGGCCCCCAGCGCCTGCGCCCCGTGCCTCAGGACGTCCGCCGCATGGTGGGCGATGTCTTGCATAACTGAGCAAGACACCTGAGAGACTTGAGAATGGAAGCGCGGCCCGAAAGAGAGCCACAAATAGCCGCGGGCAGCATAATGATGATGATGATGATGATGTTACTGATGCTGATGAGATGACGATGATGATGATGATGTTTCTGCCCGTTGTTGTTGATGATGATGTTGGTAATGCTGATGCTGCTGATGATGATTATGGTATCCCGATGATGATGATTATGACGGTGGTGATGATAATGGTGATGGTGATGTTGTGCCGATGATGATGTTGATGACGATGTTGGTGATGATGCTGCTGCTGCTGATGATGATGGTGTCCCGTTGATGTTGATGATGCTGTTGATGATGTTGATGATGATAATGAGCTGATGATGATGGTATCCCGATGTTGTTGATGATGTTGACGATGAAACTGATGGTGACCATGATGGTGTCCCGATGATGATGATGATGTTGATGGTGATGATGACGATGGCTGTGTCCCGATGATGATGATTATGATGAGATGATGATGGCATTGATGATGATGGCATGATGATGGCGTTGAAGATGATGGCGATGATGATGATGATGAAGATATCAGTGTCCCGATGACGATGGAGATGGTGGTGTTGTTGCTGATGATGATGATGATGACGTTAAATGTTATATCGATTGTGATATCGGTAGTGAGATCGATAGTGAGACCGAATGTGGGAGCGATTGTGAGATCGATAATCAGATAAATTGTGAGACCGAGCGAGTGAGATATATCGAGTGAGATCGATTGTGAGATCGATCGAGTGAAATCGATCGAGCGAGACCGATAGTGAGATGGATAGTGAGACCGATCGAGTGAGACGCTGCATCCTCCCCCCCGAACCTCCTTATCACCCGAAGGGTGGTCGTATAGGTATCTCCAAGACGGCTCAAGAAGCTTCCGCGCCAGTCCGCGAGAGCCCCCAGACGCCCCAAGAGGCCTCCAAGAGGATCCCCCAAGAGGGCTCGCAGAGGCAAACCACATTCACATTTTTTTGTTTTTGAAAGCTTTTGTTCTTCTGACCTCTTCGGCCTTGTATTTTACTCCGGCACAAGCTTGAGAGGGCGCTGGGGCGCAGTCAAGGCAACGGCGGTGCTATGGGACATACACAGCAGGCGATTCGCAAAACACTCTTGGCCTGTTAAATTCGTGAGTTATCGTGGGAGAAGAAAACGGAGAACGGGAAACAGGACAGAAGCGAGAACAGAAGGGTGGTGTGCGGATGGGCGGCTCGAGCGGATGGATTTGATCCACGATCTCCAAGGTCTTGTATTTTACTCCGGCACAAGCTGGAGAGGACGCTGGGACACAGTCAAGGCAACGGCGGCGCTATGGGACATCTACAGCAGACGATTAACCATCAATTCTTGGCCACGCACGCGGCCACTTACATTAGTGCACTGGTTTAACCGTCAACCTTTACAAATATCCCACAGGCGAGCCCGGCAGCAGTCACGCACGGCGTCAGCCAGCGATATAGCTAAAAAGCTGCACAAATATTTGGGGTAGGGGTGAGCGACGGCCGGCCAAGGCCGGCCTCCGGGCGCTTTGCCCTCGAGGACCTGGCGTGGACACTGGGTGCAATCACAAACGCCCGTGCCGTGGCACATCCGCGCAGGCCTGTGCTTCGGGGCGCGCCAGATGCGAAGCCGAGTTCGTTTCCTGCAAGGTTCACCCCGCGTGTAAGAGTGGGTGAACACGTCTTGGACCGATCTCAAGCGAAGAAGACTGACAATGGGGGGACAGAGCCACAGGCGAGAAAAGGCGGGATTCTCTAGCCCCATCGGAATATTCTGCTGGTGGGCGAGCTTAGCGAGAACGGCTGAAACTTGCATTAGTTCGTTGCCGGGCCTTCGCTCGCTCTGAAGGGGGGGGCCAGGCAGGCCGAGAGCGGACTCGTTGGGCCGCAGGGGTCCTGGCCCTGTTTTGGTCGCCCTCCGCGCCAAAGAAAAAACGTACAAGGAGTACCTAGCCACAGAATGCAAAACTTTCCGCTCAGACTCCAACCTTTCAAGCTCTCAAGGGCTGCGCGCCTGGTGATGTCAAATGCCTCGCCTCGAAGGATGTCCCATTCCGCGGTCGCAATCCCGCGGCTGCGAAGCGCGGAGGCGAGGCGGCCCGAACCAGAGAAGACTTCGACGGCGAAGCGCTCTCGGCCCAGGAGCACTCGGCAGATGGCTGCTCGGAGCTGGAGCTGTCGACGAACAGCTGGGGCAGCGAGCGCTGGCTGAGCAACCTCCGCTGCTGGGCCCGCGCGAACTCTTGCGCCGCCTGGCGCGCCAGTCGGTCGTGCTTCTCGC